TCATCATCCCTGAGCCCGAGAGCCTGGCTGAATTGGGAACGGCGAAGGCCCGGATTGCGTCACTAGTCGCGAGCGCCGACTGCACCTGCGGGAAGCTGGCGCGGCCGCTGGCCTTGGAAAACCGGTGGATGGTGCGTTTGGCTCCTGCTTGTGGTCATCCATGAGGCAAGACAGACTAACGAGTTCCCTGAGGCGAGGGGGAAGGTGTTTAAAACGGCAGAGCACCGGCGGCGGCGGCGGCGGCGTGAGCACCATCCTGAGCAACGTCTTGAAGAAAAGGAGCTGCATATCCCGAACTGCGCCTCGCCTTCTGTGCACCTTGGAGCCGGGTAAGGGCTGCCGCAGGCCGTCTGGGCCCCGCTCTCCCGTTTGCCTGCCTTTGTCGGAAAAGGGGCGCTTCCTTGGCCGCCGGGGCACGTTTGGCTTTTCTCGAAGGCTTAACCACGTCAAGGTTTAATTGCCTACGCTCGTCCCAGAGAGGAGGGGACTATTGCGGAGGAAGGGAAATGCCCGGAGCCACCCTCGCTGCATTTCCAGCTGCTCCCCGGGGATCGGGCAGGCCGAACTGGGGTGAAATGCTTAGGAACCCTGCGCGTGCTTGGCCAGGGAGGAGGTGGTGGTGGAGGAGGAGGAGGAGGAAGAGGAGCATCTTGATGGTCGCTGTAGCTTGAGCTGCGGAACGGGCGGTTTATTGCGCCTCGGACAGGGAGCGGCGAACGATTTCTAGAAATGGCGGCGGGGCTGCAGCATTTCCCAAGGGGTATACCTGGAAAGGAGCAGACTGCCCATCAGTATGTATTCTCTGAGTCACTTCGAGAATAACATTCAGTATTAAAACTCAACATACAGTATTGCCTAGTATGGCACATTAAAATTTCCTTCTAGCAAATGAGAATAAAGAAATACTAGCAGCCTGAAATATAAAAGAGAATACAACTCTTGAGAGTTTAGATTCTTTCCCTCTTTAATTGGCAGCTGTTTAAATATTCTGGATAAAGAGAATCTTTAACACAGAATTTAAAATAAATGAATAAAAATACAGGTTTTAGGCAAGATTCTTCATGGAGGCTTTCAAAAAATAAGTCTACTGTGGATAAGTCTGTCTAGTAGCCACTTGACAAGCATCAGTAAGGCCTTGGCTGTGGGATTTGGGCTTTAGATTGGGCTAACCTTACTCACTTTCATGATGGTGCAATTGCGGGCCTCACCCCCACACTCTAGACAGGACCTAAATACTTGGTTATAATTTACCTGCTCCTTGTAGGAGGTTTTTCATCTTAGCTCAAATTGGAGGACTATCCATTATGATGACAACAGGTAGATATACTAGTGTCCCATATTATAAGTGCATTTGTGTGTGTTCAGACACAGAGGTTGAGTTAATAACTCATGCACTGATAAACTTGCATCACTCATGGCTTCTGGCAGTCATAAATCTGTTTGTCAGAAATGTTAATTGTCTTTCTGTCCAAGAGGTTACAGACTTACTTCCACAAGATCAAGCATGGGCAATTACTAAAAAATTGCCAAGTTCTTACAATAGCTGTAGCTTTCAGAAGTCGGTTAGTACACCTCTTTTCATTATTAGGCCTGGCTTGTTATATGCTTTTTTGTTTTTGTGTTTTGTGTGTAGACCATAAATAAAACAAATAAAATAAAGCACCGGTGTAAATAGAGCCTAATTTGCAGTTTAAACACAGAAAAGACTTATGGCAATACAATATTTTAGGGAACAGATTTTTGTAATAAGAATAAATGCACATTTGGAAACTAGCTTAGATATACAAGATCATTCAAGAACCTTTGGCATAGAGCTGTTGGAAAAATACTCATACATTAAATCATCAGTATACAAACCCATTGTCTTGCTGAAAAAAATTGTGAAAAGTAGAAAGCATAGAAAACAAGATGCAAATTCATGCACCAATTCAAGCAAACTGATTTGCAGTAATAGCTTCATTGTAGTGTACTACTCTAAAGAGACTGTTTACATGTTCAGCTTTCTTTTATTATACTTTATTGAGGTGATTGATAGGTTTATCAGTTGGTGCTTCCTGGAGCAAATGAATTTCTCCACTCCTTCTTGCACCAGTTGGTTTACATTTTTATCCAATCATATGCATACCTTTGGTTTTTCTCTGGAATTCTTTTTAAATTCTTTTTAAATTCAATTAATGCAAACAATCTATTGTTTAAAAACAGGGTGCTGGATGTCTTTGCTCAAAGAAATTTGTTTAAATTAAATTAAAATTGCCCCTTGATATGCACTTAATGTTCGTATTTGATTTTGGTTTTATTATCTGAGGCGTGTTACAGTGCCATCCCTCTGTGAGACACTTACAAGACTACAGTTCCAGTAAATGGCATCAGCAACTAGATTTTACAATATCCCATATAATATGTGCTTCTGCCCTTGTGCGAAGGAAATTATAGAAGATTTTACTCATTATTTATTGTACTGCCCTATTTCTGCTTTGGCACATGTAAAATTTCTGGAACCACTCTTGATAAAATAATTTTGGCCTGATTCATATAAAATTGAATATCTAATGAATTTAGACAAGGAGAGAATGCTATGGAAATTAGCAAGCTTTGCACAGGCTGCTGCTAAACAGAGAATATTTTATTAAAAGTTCCTAATGTTTTCTAATAATTTATTTGCTATAATAGCATTGTTTTAATGTTTTTACTGATTTTTGTACATTTTAATGTATTTTATTAATGTTTGGTCACTTTTGTGCAGGTTTTATCTTATTTGTTGCAACTGATGATCAAAACAATAGAAATGAATTGAACACTAATAACAGTCTAACCATAAATTAATTTTCGAAATCTCTCTGGTGGAAATTTGGCATGCTACTCAGTTTGAGGGAATTTTAATTATGAAGATGGGGATGTCTGATACTGTGAACACGATCATCCAAATATTGGTTTGACTGGTAAACACCTTAAATTTAATACATTTATTATGAAATACAATTTAAATGGGCAGGTTTTATTGTGACTAATTGTTGTTAACCTTTTATTATAAGACAGTTATATTATGGTGCTGGCCTAGAAACCAGGAGACTGTGAGTTCTAGGCCTTCCTTAGGCGTGAAAGCTGGCTGAGTAACTTTGGGCCAGTCACTCTCTCTCAGCCCAACCCACCTCAGAGAGTTGTGGGGAATATAGGAGGTAGGAGTATTAGATATGTTCTCTGCCTTGAGATGACCAATTTTTTTTAAAAAAAAGGTGGGATAAAAATCTAATAATTTTGTATGGAGTGTCAGATGACATTTCAGCACCATTGGCTTGGACAGCAACATTCTGTAAGGGAGGGATTTTCTATGTTCAATATCGAATGCACTAATATAAAGGCAGTCTCCTTCAAGTCAAGCTTAACTCCTGGTGACTGATGAGCCATTCATATCGATACCTTTGCAGCTATTTGTATTAATTTATATACAGTGGTGTAACTGATTGCTGTTCTGTTAAAAATAATATTTCTATGAGTGGGTATAATTTTGAAATAGGGATATATATAAAAATGGAAAACATGAAACAAAATATTACATTCCAAAAGTTCTGTCAATCAGTTTTGGACTGCTATGTTTTGGCAGAAACAAAGCCTGGAACATTTTAGGAGAGCCTGTGATGAAAAAAAAACCAGGTGTCTAATAGCACTTTTTCCTATTAGATTTTATTAAAAGGATATGCCTTTTAATAAAGTTTGCAATGGTTTCAGATATTTCAGCTATGGAAGTCGGTGGGATACAGAAGATGCCTCAAGGGCTGCAAAAATCTGGACAACCACTAGACAAGAGCAAAGAGACATAGAAAATTCCACGTTTTTGATCTAGTGAATATTCAGATTTTGAAGCTCAGATCTTGTATCCTTTGCCCTAGTCTTACTGAACTTATAGCAACCATTTGACCTGGGTTCTACTTGAAACAAATAAATGGTCTGTGTCTTTGGTCTCTCCCCAGAACATAACTGAGTCACTTACCTCTTCCAGGATAGGAAAACAATTTGGTGGAAAATATTAATTCTAGTCAATTCTGTAAGGGGTTACTGTAAAAATATTTTAAAATACAGTAAGTATCTTCTAAATCTATGTTGTCTGTGGATAAATCTAATCTTGCAGAAGTCAGGAACATGGACTGTGTCCCTCCTCCCATTCACCTGCAAATTTGCTCTACCCCCAGCTGACTGCCCAAACAAATAAAATAATGATAGTTTCTGGTAGAGTGAACATGAAACAAACCAATCAAATGAAAGGAACTGTTGCCCATGAGAAAGGCTCCACTTGAGAAACGCAAAGCATATCTGGCTGCCAGCATTTAAATACTTAATAGGATGCAGAACAGAGAGCAATTTTACATGTGCATGCACCCTTACTCAGCAAAATAATTCTTTTTTACGCTTGAAGTACAGAAGGGAAGAAGAGTTGCAGGAAATGCAGATCAACCATCAATTTCAAACATGCATTGGCAGCAAAATGGACCTGCACCAACAGTGCAGGAACGCATGGAAACAGTGCAACCCTCCCCCACCTCCAAGTTAGCAGGCCAATCAGCATTTTTAAACACACTCTGAAGTTTATCAGAAGGACAGAACAGGATGTACAGAGTGCAATGATGAATGAACAACATAGAAGTCAACAACTCCAAAAAAGTCAAATCTAAGCAAGCCATGTGGAATTTTGAGAAAAAGATAATGAGGATGTGGAAGATGACATGCTCACTGCATAGGCAACACAACAAGAATCCAAGAACAGTACACATAAACCTAAGCTAGAAGACCAATTGGCAGGGGGGGGGGGAGGCAGGTTGCATTTTGAAATGCACTCTGAAGTCTCCATAAATAGAAGGGTACAAAAGAATGCAGAGTACAAGAGGATGAATTAACAATGACACCAAAGTAAAAACAACTGGATTTACTCTTTGCTTTTCAAATACACTCAAAATCAAAAACTACAAAATATCCAGCTAAACCAATGTACAATGTTTGTAGGAAAAAAGATGGCAATTAAGCTATACCAGTGATGATTTGCAGAGTTTAGCCATGCATTTGTACACTCTGAATTCTCTTTTACCTTGATAGTGGAGCTTTCAGAGTGTTTTTGAAGATAACTCACAACATATATATGAATCTCATATATCCTGAATCTCAACATCAGCAGGAATCAAGAGCATTCAGAGAGTTCACACATACATTAAAGGAGCAGATCAATCAAACCTGTATGTATTAGTACTTTTTGCATTCACATCAGTTGTGCGTGAACTTAAGCACAATGTTGCATGCATATGTAGAAGGATACGTCTTTGATGTTACCCCCAGCAATCCATTTCCTTTTTTTTTTTTTTTTTGAAGGCCACACACAGTAACTCACCCACAAGAAGTCCAGTTTCTCACAGGAGTTGTTAAAATAAACAGCAATTTAGCTTCTAGGAAGGCAGTAGTATGATTAGTGGAAAAGAACAGTATTTTTCATTTGTCCGAGCTATGTGTGCCTGTTACGGTCACCTCAGTGCTGCATGTGTGTGTACTATGATTGTATGTGTCCTCAGAGCTATCACACCTTGTTTGAACCAGTTTGAACCACGTGCATGCATGAAGATAGGTGAGCTATGGTGTTGGGCTTGAAGGACAGTGAGTCATCTGAGGGATGGTAAATAAATCCCATTGTATCTCAGATAGTGCAGGAGCCTCATAAAGCCAGGTGGAGTCTCTTCTAGTGTCAGCTCACTCAGTGATACTGCTCAGAGATTGAAAGGATCAGCCAGGTGAGCCATGTAGCTCTCATCCATTATGCATCTCCCAGAGACTTGTTTCAGTGATTTGGTCAGAGAGTGAGTGTGACCCAGATGAGTTGATGTCTTGGAGACACCAGCACTTCTTACCAGAGCTACAGTGGGGCAAAAAAGTATTTAGTCAGCCACCAATTGTGCAAGTTCTCCCATTTAAAAAGATGAGAGAGGCCTGTAATTTTCATCATAGGTATACCTCAACTATGAGAGACAAAAGAAATTGAAGACATATAAGACCACTGATAATCTCCCTCGATCGACCAAATACTTATTTTCCACCATGATTTGCAAATAAATTCTTTAAAAATCAGACAATGTGATTTTCTGGATTTTTTTTTCTCATTTTGTCTCTCATAGTTGAGGTATACCTATGATGAAGAAATTGAAGACATATAAGACCACTGATAATCTCCCTCGATCGACCAAATACTTATTTTCCACCATGATTTGCAAATAAATTCTTTAAAAATCAGACAATGTGATTTTCTGGATTTTTTTTTCTCATTTTGTCTCTCATAGTTGAGGTATACCTATGATGAAGAAATTGAAGACATATAAGACCACTGATAATCTCCCTCGATCGACCAAATACTTATTTTCCACCATGATTTGCAAATAAATTCTTTAAAAATCAGACAATGTGATTTTCTGGATTTTTTTTTCTCATTTTGTCTCTCATAGTTGAGGTATACCTATGATGAAGAAATTGAAGACATATAAGACCACTGATAATCTCCCTCGATCGACCAAATACTTATTTTCCACCATGATTTGCAAATAAATTCTTTAAAAATCAGACAATGTGATTTTCTGGATTTTTTTTTCTCATTTTGTCTCTCATAGTTGAGGTATACCTATGATGAAGAAATTGAAGACATATAAGACCACTGATAATCTCCCTCGATCGACCAAATACTTATTTTCCACCATGATTTGCAAATAAATTCTTTAAAAATCAGACAATGTGATTTTCTGGATTTTTTTTTCTCATTTTGTCTCTCATAGTTGAGGTATACCTATGATGAAAATTACAGGCCTCTCTCATCTTTTTAAGTGGGAGAACTTGCACAATTGGTGGCTGACTAAATACTTTTTTGCCCCAGTGTATATGTAGGCAGTGAGCAGGCTGCTGCCAGTGGTCTATGGAGAGAGGTAAGAGGCTAATCCTCAGTCTCTCATTCAGTGACAGGTCAGGGAAGTCCAGCAAGGGGATATTTACCTTAAGGACAGCTAATTGCTCCACCAAGTCAGCCCTAAGGCATCAGCAATGGAATGTCACCATGTTGTCCGCTCTAAGAACACCCTCTTGCTTGGGATATTGGTTGGTGGGCAGGAGATCTACCGCTGGGCAACTATTGCCAGGGCTGGCCAGATCTTGCCATTAGTTGTCTCAAACATGAGCAGACCCATCTTTTTACTTTTCACTGGCTTGCTCAGTAGCATAAAACAGAGCATTCCCACAGCTATGGCTGCTTCAGTGGGGTTTTTTATAGGGGGTATAATGTATGTGGGATTAATATTAGGGTAGCCCTAAACTGGGAATTGGTGGTGGGGGGCCTTAGTGGCAAGTCTCTTTTTAAAACAGAAAAAGGACTCTATTTAATGTGTGTGTGTGTGTGTGTGTGTGTGTGTATAAATGTCTAACAAACAGCAGTACTATCAGTGCCAGTATATATACACACAACACTAATTAGACTAATTTCCTCAAATAAGCAAGCAGGCCTTATTTGGGAGAAAATGTTATTTTATACTCAGATGGACTAATTTGAAAAGCAAGAGAAGGGTCGGGGAGAAATCCCTTTTTTCTGATTGTTACTATCACTTGCTACATTGAATCAAAACTGAAACTAAAAACCCCCATAACCTGAAATAAAAAGGGATTGGGGATTGTAGATTGCCTCAGAGGGTAGCAACCAGATGCTTTCCAGCAGAAGCACCAATCCTGCAATGAATAAAGGACCCCCCCACAGCAATTACTTCCACAGATGCTTGTAGTCCATTAGCAGTTAGGTCTAGAACAGCTTGCTCTGTGTCACGTGTTCCTGAAATGTCAGCTGCAGAATGCCACCCAGATCACCCTCCATGCACTCTAAGCCGAAAGCAGTGGATATGTAAGAGTCCCTTCTGCAGTACTGATCCAGACAACATTCAAAGGATAACAACCCAGTTGCAAGGAACAAGACAATTTCCAGTCAGAGAAGCTAAATCAGAGCACTGAAAACACTTCTACCCCGAACAACTGCACTGAGGCATATCCAAACAAAACAGCTTCGTTTCAGGCCACATCCAGAATAAAACATTCAGAATATTATTGTTTCAGTTTGGGCACAAACCAGCTGTTCTGTGCACATTTGTAAACTGGATATTTTGCATATCCCTATTTTATAATGTGTGTTAAGTGAACACTAACCATAGGGGTCAATGGTAATGCCAAAAAAGTTTTAAAGAGAGATTATCCCAACCTGAAGAATGTATCAGGTAGTTCACCCTGCACAGAAGATGTGTTGATTTAATGAGTAATTATGACTGCCTTAAGCCCACCTTGACTACTCTTGCCTCATGAATTTGTACAAATTCTAGTGCAGATTAATTTCCATATAACTCAGAAATGTCTTTCTTATAAATTATATAAGGTTCTCTTCAATTTTGTTGACCTATTGTCAGAATAAGAGAGACGGTTTGGTATAATGGTTAAGGCACTGGGCTAGAAACCAGGAGACCATGAATTCTAGTCCTGCCTTAGGCACAAAGCCAGCTGAGTGACCTTGGGCCGGTCACTCTCTCTCAGCCCTAGGAAGCAGGCAATGGTAAACCACTTCTGAAAAATCTTGACAAGAAAACTGCAGGGACTTGTCCAGTTAGGTCACCAGGAGTCAATGCTGACTAAAAGGCAGATAAATAAATAATAAATAAATAAATAATTGTCAGAATGACATCAGTCAGCAAAATGAAGTCCCCCATTTCTCAGTATTTGTACCTTTTGAAACCTTCCATTTGGGATATAAAGGAGGGAGAGCTAATAGATGTCTATTTGCTTAACATTGGATGTTGCCCAAAATACAGCTATGGGAACAATGGCACACATTTATGCAACTTTTCTTCCTATCAAATGATAAAATGTTTTTGTTAAGAATGTGATGGTGCATTTTTTTATTCTTAAATAACTAGGTTCCATTTTCCTTTTGTAGGTATGTTGCATGCCCATAAAAATATCCAACAGTACTTAATCAAATTATCTTTCCCTCCTTGACATGTAAAAACTGCCAATGTTGTGGATGATAATTGCTTGAAAAAGGTCAAAATATCCTTCCTATATATACATCCAGATCTCATCTCTGCTTAGTTAAGTCGCCCAGAGTTCCCCCACTGGGGGGAGATGGGCGGTTGAAAAATTTAATAAATAAATAAA